CTTTAAATAATCAATTTGTATCTAAAATATTTTTAATTCTTAAAAAAATAAAATTGGTTATATGCTGGGAAAATATCTTTTATTTCCGTAGCTGAGGTGCTGACGTTAAAGGGGGTTGAGATGGAAATATTCCGCCTTTTTCACAAGGAAGAGAGCTCTCATGGCTCTGTTTCTCAGGGCACTGCAGAGGGGTCCCTTTGCCCTCCATCCCACCACCAAGCCAGGAGTCGGGACAGTGGCCCTCCTGCCTTTGCTTGAGGGGACACTAAGGATGGGGTGGCATCATAGCTGACCTCTCACACTACTTTCATCAATTTTCCTACTTGCTATTACATCTGAGGATATTTATTTCATATCAGTTTGCTCCTTTACTGAAAACTAAGGACTTTACTCACATAGAATGAAAGCAGTCCAAATTCATCTGGGAAAATCTGCATTATCTTTTATCACTCTGATCTGCTCTGATGATCGGCAGCAGAGCAGATAAAAGGCTGGCTGTGACCAGAGTTGGGTCTCTAAAAGAGGGACTAAAACCACACCATCTCCCTCTCTGTCCCAGGCAGCTAACACAGTGCTAGGCGTGGACGTCAACATAGAAACAAATAAAACATCAACTTCAAATGTACTCATAGCTTTACCAAACTAAAAGATGAAATTAATTATGAGACAAATTAATTACCCAAAATGGGGTAATTTCAAAACTGCATCAGTCCCCACCAGGGACCAGGGAACCAGAGCATTCAAAGACAGACACTCTAGAGGAGAGGTTTAAACCCAGTAATTGGTGGTGGCCTGAAAACATGCTGGGCCTGAAGGAGTCATTCATGGCTGACGGTTGGATAAAATTTAAAGAGCTCAAAAAGTGTTTAAAACAGCCCCCCCCCCCCCCCAAGCAGTAGGCTCCCTGTATCGTGCAGCAGACCTGATGTGTCCCATGTGTAACCCGTATCTTATAGTGGGAAAAGTTAATTTAATTATTTTAAACAGAGCTGTGCAACAAAAACAAAGGTGTCTGAGTTTTGTTTTTGGCTTGAACCGTTTGGGTAAACACAGTCTACTTGTGTGAATACCCGGGAACTGTCCAGTGTAATGGAGTTGCAGCTGCTGCTGGGTGTGCCCAAAGGGAGGAGTGAATTAGTGACCGTGTCTTTAAGGTCTAGATGGTGCTGTCATTTCTTTCCTCGGTAGCTTTTTATGGCCCATGATCTGGGTGATGCAAATAATGAGGGAAAACCTGCTGTGAGTGCAGGGTGATCTAAGGAGTGTTCAGCAGGGATGGGGAGGGGTGCTCATAAACCAGGAACTGCCAACCAAGTCATGGCCAACTTGGCCTGTCCCAGATTGCAACTTTAGGGCTAGGAGAGATGTCTGAGGCTGCAAGGCACAGTGGGCCACAAAAGGCTGTCACAGAGCACACAGAATGAGAAATGCCAGGAGAGCTGGGTCACTAATGAACACAGCACTTAGCTCTCTGAGCCACAGACTGCCCATTGGGAAAATGGGGATAATGCTTCTATCCAAGGTCTATTGGAAGGAATAAAGAAACAGGAATGCCCCTAACACAGGTTTTACAAGCAGAATTGTTAGCAAGTTCTAGGGTGGAAGGAAAGAGGCAAGGATGTGAGAAACTAACATGGGCACCCACCACATCCCTGGGTTGAGCCAAACACTTATGTTCCTTATTTCATCCTCATAATCACCACCTGTACAGCAGAGGAAACTGAGGCGCTAGAAAGTTGGCTGATGCACCAAAAGGCACACGGCTATAAGAGGGAGTGGGGGATCCATGCCAACTTAGTGCCTGGCATCACCAAAGCCTATGCCTTCCTATCCCACCAGGAAAATCAGTGGTAGACAAGAGGTTTTTGCTGGATTCTGAGACAATGACTAGAAGGAAAAACACCTAAGCTTCCAGAGGGAAAAGGACCAAGAGAGATAGGAACATACTGCTTTCCATAAGGAGAAGAAATCAGCACTCACAGCATATGTGTACATAAATATATATTTGCAAGGCTGCACTGAATCAAATATAATCAGAGGGAAAAAACAAGACTGGGTTTAAAGAAAGTGAGAAACATGTTCAACAATCCTCCAAATGAAAACCAAGCTGCCCAGGTAGTAATAAGATCTTAATAATATTTCTCTCTCCCTCCATAAAACAATTCAGTCAGTGGGATAACTCTGCCAATATATTCCTGTAGATGCTGAAAAGGTTATCACCTGGAAACGGGGGGGAATGAAGTGAATTTGTTCCTTGGTCACACAATAAAGATAAAAAGCGCCATGTTCACACTGAGCCCATCCACTCCAAGGGCTGGAGGCCGGAAACCACTGTGGAGCGCAGGGATGCGTGGGAAGGCTATGCTGGGGAACACACTCGATTGCATGATCTGCTTCGGGAGCCTCATGAGGATCAGGAGGGACAGGAAGGAGACCCAAGGAAGTACAGAGCACTCTTGGTCTAGAAAGTTTAAAGATGGCCACATATGAAGCCAATTTCAAACGATATAAAACCCCTGAAAGAAGTGTACAGGTCAGTTTAGTTCAGCGAGCATTCACTGATGACACTAATGCTCTCCATAGACACTGTGCTAACCACTGGGGACAAAGTCTCAACAGCCGTAGACCTGGACCATGGAGAGTGTAGAGTCCAAAGAGGCCAGAGGATAAGAGAGCAAACTTCTGTTAAGCCAGGCTGCAATTTACAAACACAGTTCGCCAAACAACTCCTTCAAGTACTAACCTGAGCCTGTTTACCAATGAGTTTTATATTTTATAAACTAGGGTTACAAGGGTTACACAAGAGGCAAAAATCAATCTTCAGTCCCAGACCTCTTCCAAAGCCCATGCCCACACTTTCCATCACACCCTTTTTATTCCTCTACCACCCCGATTCAATTGATCTGAGTTAGAAGAAACCAATGTATCTGAATCAAAGATAATGCGTCCTTAAATCTTTTTAATATTCTGACATCGTCGAAGTCCCAATTTCAGAAAAACAATATTCCAACATTATGACAGAATGCCAATGACTACAAGTGTGACTGCATCCTACGGATACAATGTTCACTGCAAATACTTAAAAAACCTGTATTACTAGGTGGAATTTTAAAATATCTATTTAGCACAACCTCATACCATGTTTTTATTTTTGTTCCTACAGAATTTCAGGGTTAGGGGAGAATGGTATAAATTACCTCCCAGAAACCCACAAGTAACATTATCTGTTAAGGTTAAAACTTTGCCTTCCCTGGGTATGCTGCTGGGGTCTCATTACAGCAGGTAATCTCACATTCTGCCATGCACAACACACTAAGTACCAGCATCTCCCAATTACACGGCAACATAAATCTCAAAGGACATCTGAAAAGTCTATACAGCTCCTGCACCCACTGCCGAAACACAACCATCTCTAATGGAACCTGGCAGCTTTCTAAACTAAATATTCACATGCAGGGACAGGGATGCTAAGCTCGGCCTTATTCCACACTGAAGAGCAGATGCTAATTAAAAGGCCACACTGACTCAGGAAATGACCACCTAGACAACTTCAGACACTGTCTGGAGTTTCGTTTTCCTATTTCCCAATATGTTCAGCGGTCCAAACTTCCAGGATTACACGACTGACAAAGTTAGAGCAGGAGGAGCCCCCACGCCTCTGTACCTGATGCCCTTGTCTAGAATGGTCTCTTCTCCTTCTCTTCAGCCTCCCTGCTCCACTCCTTCCTCAAACCCAAGACAGAAAAATTTCAAGCGAGGAGTCACATGCTCTTTGAGGCCATCTTACAGCCTCCTCCTCCACCCTCCAGAGAGATTCCACCAACTCTTCTTACCTCTACACCTCCTTATATCTACAGTTCTCCTGCACTTTTCATGCCATAATTTCCATCGTTTGTGGACCTGTCCACCCTCTAGGTTGTAAATGCCTCTAAGAAAAGGACCATGTCTCATAACCAGTCACAGAGCTTGGCACCCAGCTGGAGATCACTAAACTCGGGGAATGGAACACAATGGCACCCTTCACACCTCAGAATGCCCACCTCACAATAGTTTATCAAGGCCTTAAAGGCTACTCCAATGGGATATAAAAGATGTTCTTCTGGTGGCGTGGGTACCAAGAAACTTCTGGTTTCTTTGCTCACTGACCTTCTGCCTTTGCCAAATTTGTATGTCTCAGAAATCTTTGAGAAGGCACTTTAAAAAACCTTCATAATAGGAGAGGGTATCCAGGGTGTATTAGTTCTTATCGTAATCATTTGGCTATTTTTGGAACTGTTTTTACTTCAGCTAGCAAAACCTAGACTTGATATAGGCTGTGAAGCAAAAAAATAACTGTCATAATAGTAGTAATGGCTTTGAAATATCTCATCTAAGCCAACTTTATTCTCATGCCTCTTAAGAATTGCCAAGCCCTTCAAATATTGGCAGTTCCATTTATTCAGATCTTCCGATATATAAAATTTGCTGACTTTTCCCCCCTCGAGTTGATACAGATACATGAAAACTGTGAAGCCATTTTTCTTTGGCTAGAAATGAAACTTCTCTGCCAGTGAAAATTATAGGGGCATTTTGAAATTACCATATGCTTTAGATCAGAAGGTAAAAACAGTACAGCAGCCCATGAAAACTTTCCAGCCCAGAAAGCTGACAATTCGCTCACTGACACACAGTTCAAGCCCTCAAGTTCCCCTACTCTTACAGGCAGTGGTCCCACTTACCATTTAAAAATTGTTAGTAAGTTTACTATTTTTGTTTTATGTTCATTTACATGTACAATGTGAACGTATATAGCTACCACATTTAAATATTTAGCCTAAATGTTATTTTAAACTTAATATTTCCACAGAGCTATTTGATTTTTTTAAAAAATAAGAAGGAACTTTCCTAAAATTCTTAATAGCACTTCAGTGTATATTAGCAAATGTGTGATGCTTGGCTGCTTTGCACACCCACATGCCCTCCCCCCACCCCGCCTCCCCCTTTCTGATACCACACACCACACAAGTATAATAAACCATGTTAATATTTCATACCACTGTGAAATATGCTGGAGTATCAATTCAACATCTGCTGTCTTTAGGGTCCGGGAGTCCCGCAGAGACACTTTCAATTTGTAATTGAGTTCTATGCTGAATTAATCAGCAGTTTATCTTTTTTACTAAAATAACGTCTTCACCACTAACCCAGATTTACATTAACAATTTATGCCAAATTACCTGCCAAGGCAAAACTTATAAGATTCTAAGCTGCCATCCAGTTACACTCAATCCTGTATTTCACTTCTTCCGTTTCTCTAGTCTGTATACAAGAAACACAGAAAAGCCATTGTTCAAGACTTTGCAAGCCTCTAACCACAGATGACCTCTTGGATTTGTGACACACAACCTCACTTTTGACATGAAATACAGGGATGGGGGGAGGGGGGGGGCGTGGGCGGGCATCCCTTCTCTTCCCATGAAAAGTCACTGTTCAGTAAGTGGTTCTGATTCAAAATTTTTACAAAATGAGATTTCTAGAATGGAATAAATCGATGAATAAAGGAACTTCTTTATTTTCCCAAGGAGCTACAACATTCCAGATCTTGGCTTGGCTTGAATACAAAAAAAAGATGACTTAGAAAGAGGGAGTATTTTTAGTGCCTGAAATTATGACCCTGAGACCCAAGTTAGCAAAGGCATTTCAATTTGGTAAGAGATGGGGGGAAAGTCCATTTTCTCTTTGATATCATGATGTAGAATATAGAAATAATATTTTCCTTTTAATTTTACCTGTACAGGTGAAAGTCATTAAACATTTATTTCTATTCAACATCATCCCTGAATCTAGCTCTTGACTCTCTGATTACAGTCTCTGGGCACAAAAAAGTTATTTTTGCCTGCTGGATTTCTGCCACAGGTGCAGCAAGCAATATACTTTGTGAAATATTTCTCTTACATGGTATATTTTCCCCTACATTCCACAGTTACAGGGAATATGTAAAGTGAAAACATTTCAAATAGAACACCTGCTCCAAAGAAATGCATCACAAATAATTACCCATCTACTACGGAATCAAATAAACCCTTCTTTTCAATCTACTTTGCATATGGCTGTATAAGGAGCTTCCACTGTCAGACAGAACGAACAGCCTCTTTCAATACTACCTCTGGGTTACAGCACCCAGTGCAATGCCTTGCATTCTGTTGGTCCCCAATAAGTAACTGCTAACTGATTACATATTGACTTTATAAAAAAATGAATTCAGTATTTACATAGCAGAGTAGAAGACAGGGAAAAATTTGCACAGAAATATTTTTGGCAGAAAAAAATCAATGAAGAATTCTCAAAGTCAATAACTATGGCAGTTATAGCATTTGTAGTACTTTCATTACTCCTCAAAGAATTGGAAATTGAGACCTTCAAATTTTATACAAGGTCACTTTCCTAAGATTTGTTGATTCTTGAATTCCAGAGCCTAGGCACCAGGAGGGATCTATTCCCAGCTCATTGCAGATTTTGGTAAACTATATCTTTCCTTCTTGGCCTCCTCCCTTCTAATCCCCTTTTGCTTCCTGATACTAAACAGGAAAAATAGAACAAACTTTCTAAAATTTCCTTCAACCTCCTTACCCAAAAATCACACTTTGAACTTCAACTTTCATCAAAGGCAGAATACAATGGCAAGGGTAGAAATGATAATGAGCCACCACCATGACAAGGAAGACACGGACTTGGCCAGGAGACAGACATATAAGTGGTTATTTCTAAGTCAAGGAAGACTAAGGAATCCTAGAAAACCAAAGGGAGAGAAGCAATTACATGTTAAATTCCAAACTCTTATGGTAGAGAGCAGTCTTGCTGTTGAAGCATCAGGTGAAAAAACAAAACTTCCATCTGCCTTCTAAAACACCACAAGATGAAAATGTGAGCAAGAAGTTCCTTCTGCCTCTCCAAAGTTGGCCTACCAGTGGGTTCAAATTTTGGAGAACAAATTCACTTTTTAAAAGAAGGACAACTCAAAATATCCGATGCTGGTGAGAAGCTTTAGCCATCAGCAGGATCTTCTCATTAATATCTATTCTAAAGGTCAATGGTAATTCTCCAAATCACCCACTGAACAAAATGAGTGCCATCTTTAATATCTGTTCATTTCTAAAATTAACTATTTAACTCCACTGGATATGACTACTAAGAATAATTCTAATCAGGGCCCCAGAAATGTTATCTTTGGGTTCTGACATCTCTAAAAATTAATGCATTACATTAAATACAACTAAGGAGAAAATTAATACATTTTTGATCCAAAAATGAAGACACAATTTATGATGTTAATGCTGCAGATCTTAAGGAAAGCCAATAAGCAGGTATTAGGACCGAAATCAAATGACAAGAACAGCCTCAGGGAGAGCCTCTAAGAGGGACCTTTCAGTATCTAAACAAATGAGCAACCAATTCAATTACTGCCCAAATCCAGTGTGTAAAGAAGTGTGTCCAGTGCTTCAGCAGTTCCATCTAAACAGCCCCACAGTTGCATTAGTCTTACCAATAAGGAATCCATCAAAACCACAATGAGATACCAATTCACACCCACCAGGAAGGCTACAATCAAAAAGACAGATAATAAGTGTTGGCGAGGGTTAGAAATTAGAATTCTTAGACTGCTAGTGACCTAGCTGCTTTGGAAACCAGTTTGGCAGTTCCTCAAAAAGTTAAACATATGAGTCAGCAATGCCACTCCTAAGTGTATACAAGAAAAATGACAATATATATCCACACAGAGACTAGTACACGAATGTTCATAGCAGCATTACTCCTAATAGCTGAAATATGAAAACAATCCCAATGTCCACCAACTAACGGATGGATAAATAAACTGCGGTATGTCCATACAATGGAATACTGTTCAACCATAAAAAAAGAAATAAAGTACCAATACATGGCACAACATGGATGAAATATTATGAAAATATTGTAAGTTAAGGAAGCCAGTCACAAAAGACCGTATATTGTATGACTCCTACCATGAGAAATGTCCAGAATAGGCAAGTGTTTCAACACAAAAAGTAGGTTAGTTGTTGCCTAGGGCTGGGAGGGTCAGGGGATATGGGGAGTGACTGCTAATGGGTATGGGTTTCTTTTGAGGGTGATGAAAACATTCTAAAATTTACTATAGTGATATTTGCACAACTCTGTACTAAAAAATCGCTGAATTGTACACTTTAAGTAAATTATATGGGTGCAAATTATATCTCAATGAAGCTGTTACTAAATAATAAGGCATCCAGCATTTTTAGACTAGAGGACCTTAAAAAGGTCAAAACACCTAGTGACATGTCACAAGTCAATCCAAGAACTTACATTCCAATAGTAATTTTGTAAAAGCTAGAGATCACATAAATAAAAATGTCAGCATAAATCCCTAAAAGCATTTAGTAAGAATGCATTTTGGTTCTAACTATATGATTTTTCCCAGACATACAACATACCTAAATGGATATAGCAACCAGACCAACATAACCTTAAAATCTAAAAATCTGCAAAAGTGAGTCAAGTTCAGCTCATTAAACTGACACCTATTAAAGTGCTACAAGAAAAACTGTCTTAAACACCATCAATATCAATACAGACAGAAAAATCATTGTTATGATAGCTATCGAAGGTCAGATTATTTTTTTTAATTTTGCATTTATTAAAACTCTGCTTGATGCCAACAGGGTTCAAGTTGCACAGGAAGGTGCTTCGGCTAAACACTGATAGTCTTCCTTGATCTCCATTGTCTGCTGCGTGGGTTCCGTCAGCAAACCTCCCAGCAAGTGGTCACCTTCCTATGGAGTCATTAAACCTCTGAATGTCAGCTGGTGGGATTAGCCAGCAGCTTCCACACCTGAGCCCCCATGGCAGGGACAGAGGCATTTGGATCAAGATCACTAATGAATACAGAATTCATATGCCGCTTGTCAGGGCTCCTGAGCTCAGAGTCGCACAGATGCAACCTAAATAAGACGGAGGACAGAACAATTGTTGACAAAGATTAAAAAGTTTTGGCAGTTGGGAAAAAAAGAGCACCTCATTATTCAAATATGATAGCCTTGCTTATTTTTTTATTTTCGTTGAAGTTATTCATGAGTTGCCTCAAATGGACAAATGCCATTCACCAACATTTAAAGACTTCCTGGTCTCATTACTAAATTTGAAGAGGGCTATGCCAACTGAACGTTACCTATCTAGAGAAAAAGAGCTCTCTTGTAAAGAATATTTGAAAACTTGGGGGGGGGGGGGGGCGCTGAAGCAACCACAGGATATTTGGGTTAGAAGACAGTTAAGAAGTGAAAACAAATCTAGAATTCAAAGAAGAAAAAAAAGTATCTTCCATAGCCCAAATGACTTATTTCTATTTCCCATTATCTCTGTAAATCTAACTTCCTTGCACCTTTCTATTCCTGGGCTCCTTCCAATGCCGCTTGTCAGAGGTATGTGAACCTCCTCTGACACTTGTGTAGTTATTGCCATCTCCACAAGCCCTCATCAGAGAAAAGGAACAGACGAAGGAGCCCACATCTCTGCTCCCCTGGAATAAGAAGTCTTCCACACTCTGCTGTCAAAGAATTACAGGCCTAGCAAAAAAGCAAAACAGCACATGATCAATTACATCAGAGGGCTCTAAAGTCAGATGACCAGGTTCAAACCAGGAGTCCATCACTGACTAGCTGTGTGACCTCACCGTACCCTCATTTTTCTCTCTACAAAATGGGGATAACTAAGTACAGACCTCACGTGACTATTGAAATGTAAATAAGATAATGCAGAAAAGGCTGTTAGAACAAAGCCTGACACAGCAGAAGCACTCAACAAGCATCAGCTATTATGATTACTGTGTTTGCAATACCTTGCCCCCATAGTAAGTCCTTCCACAGCTGGTATTAGGTGTTAAAAAGGCTTCTTCCGCTGTCATTATGACCACTACATAGGTCTGTCTCCGATTTTAAGCTTTCAGATGGGAAAGAAGAATCATATCTATTTTCGCTATAAATCACCAAGCCTGATGCAACTACAAATAATCATGTTGCTATGGGATGTTTCTATCCTACTACTGAAAAAAAAAACAGAAGCAGCTGCCATATTTTAGAGCCAGTTTTGTGTGAGCCACCACATGAGGTGTTTTACAGACCACATCTAATCCTGATAGCAGCCTGCAGGCAGGTCTCTGGGTCCCCATCTTCTAGATGGACAGTCTTGGACCGTGGCTTGCCCAGAGACATGCGGAAGTACAGTGGAAACAGACTTACAGCCCAGTACTCTAGCTCCTGACCTCTCGTGCCCCTTTCCATCCGACTACATTGAACTCATACTCTGTTTTCCTTTGGGAGCAATGTATGTGCCAAACTGAACAGATTCTTTGTGAGTTTTTAAAATCAAAATAATACTGAGCTCTCACGCAATTGTCCATCTGCAAAGCACAAAGAAATCTATAACTTCAGTGTCTTTCTATTACTGGACTTAAAAACAAAAAACCTACAGTTATTTCTAAGATTTGCTGCCAGGGTGCCATATTAGTATCAACTCTTTCATTATTTAAAGTGGATCTATAGCTGCCTGCAATGACAGATTAATTCTATTTCCTCTGTAGCTAGGTGTTTGGCATCACGTTTGTGAGATAACCACAAGTCTTTAGGGCGAAGGCTGTGCACGTCTTTAGCAATCTATAAGGGCTTCTCTAGAGGCCAGCACTTGCTGAGTGATGAAATATGACTCCATAAATCAGACAGCTGAAGTGGCACTTATATACGTCACCATCTATCTTCGTAGCTTCTCTCGGAAGGGTATAGGGTGAGAGCTCATCCCTCGGTACTGCACCAGAGAAAGGACCATAACAGTTGGCACTGACTAAGCATGTGCTACTTAAAACTGAAGACACACTAAGACTAGGGGAAAAAGATCCTGCTGGTGTTAGCACGCCTCAGGCAGTGGGAGAAGCTTCAGCAACTCATCTTCAAAAGGCAGAGAGCCAGGGCTCTAGAAACCTGCAAAAATTGGCGAAGCCTGCAGTCTTCATTTCTTTAAGTTGAGCATCTTCAAAGTCTAGAATTCTAACTGTAGGGCACAGCAGCTGCCACTGCAGATCTGATCCTCTCAGCTTTTGGCAGCTCTCAACTTGAGATTCTAGCAAAAGAATTTTTCAAGTTGCTATTATTGCCTGTCATGGATTTATAAATATTGTGCGCTATCTGCTGTGGCATGGCTCTCATGGGACGCCAGAGCATGCCAAATGCAGAACAGAATGAAAAACAGTTTCTATTCTTCAAATAAATGCTAATTTTTTAACTGTGCTCACGTGATTTGTTTGGTGACCAACTTCAATAGTACAGAATATGTACCAGGGAGGGGGGAAAGCGGATTGTCTTTTCCAGCAGCATTCAGCTGCTACTTTCATTAAGCTTGTTTAATTAGATTCCAGATGCTAATTTGCAAGTCGATACCAGAGGGTGCAGGACAGTTTGCCTTTGAATCATCTCCCTATGATGTGAGGGTCCTGCCGCACACCACTACCCTTCAGCGGCCCTCGCACGAGATTCTGACAATTAGTGCAAAGGGGGAACAGTATTAATCTTGACAGACTAAATATTAATCTTCTACCCATTTTAATGAATGATAATCTTTAAGAGTTTAAATTTCTCACTGGGCCAAATGAAAACATTCCTTCTCACAAAGAAACAGGATGATCTTCGGATTCATTTCCTTAATTCCTTTCCCACCCTAAAACACAATCTGTTTTTATCTCAGCACTTTTAGCAATTTTCAAGAAACATATTCCCATGAAGCTAACACCATAACCCAAGTGCTATGGTCCACTTCCTTATACTTAACTGGAAAATGGACTCAAAAGGCCAGTGTGGTTATCACTTGTTTCCTGTCCAGCTAGCCTGTGGGTAATAACCAGAATCCAGGGCTTACTTCTGATACCAGCCTAAACAACAGGAAAAAAATCCGGAGGAATAGCTTCATGCAATTCATCACCACCCAAAAAACCTCTAGCTGGTGCCTTGTCATGAGGTGAATGTCCACATTTTCAAAATGCACTATTCTGCTGACACATAGGTACAATCTCCAAATATGCACCTTTGCAGATAAAAATAAAGCATAGGATTACCACCAGTAATACAATCTTTTATGCCTTCATTTCTATCACTGCTAAGTATTATGAACACTAAAGGTGAAGTTATCAAATCGGGAACTACATATTGAGCAAAGTTGCTTTTAACACCTTTTCATCCCACTCACTCAACAAATACTGGCTGAATACCTACTGTGTACCAGTTACCATGCTAGGAGAACTTCCAGGCTAACAGCAAGGAGAAAAGCAAGAAAATGAAAATTACACAAGACCACTAAAGGCAATGCGAAGGTCACATCTGGGTGAGGATTTTTAGATTTTAATGTGTCATAAACTCACATGATTAGCTGGCAGTTTCTCTGAAATCTTGAACCAAGGCTTCTACGTGGGACAAGACACTGGCTCAGATGACTGGAAACAGCAGAGGCAGTCTCAGGCATTTCTGAGTCCCAGCTGGGCTGCACTGTTCTGCTTTCTGACCTATAATCTCCCAAGGAGCACTTGCCCTTTGTCCCATCTTCACTTCTGCCTGTGTACGTGGGGGTTTGCTAGGCTGACTCTACCCCGATGATGTATGTTATTTGAGAAGTGTACTAGTTATCTTCCTCTGTTAACTAAAAAGAAAAAATTTCAGCACTTCCCAGAAGGGGGAAAAATAGTCCCTTCCATTTCCCAGGTGGGTTTTGATGACTCAGATTTTACTTTAGCTCAGGGTTATTCTATCTCAACTCAACAAACACCTACTGAACATCAGGGGCTGAGAAACAGAGATGATTTCACAGCCCCTGCCCTCAAAGGTCTCCCTCTCTCAATGGCAAGTGGGGGAAATGTCTCTGGAAACTGCCATAAGACAATGGGACAAGTGTGTGCGATGGAGTACAGGGACACAAATAAAAGAGGAAGCAACTGAGAGCACTGCTGGCAGAAACGAGCAGTGAGGAGGCTTCCTGGGCAAGTACACACGATATTCAAGGAACAGGGAGGAGGTAAGAAGGGCTGAAGTAGGGCAGGAATGGAGACCTGTTTTCCCAAAGTTTAACATTCACACCCCTGGGCTTACACATGACGGTGCTAATGAACACATTTTTACTTATATTAATAGTATGTGTTCATTTTCATATGTCTTGGAGGAAAAATATTATCAGAACATCAAACCCAAGATTTCATACATGTAAACCTATTTTTAAAAATAAATTTAAATTAAAAAGACAAAAACTGAAGTGGCTGTGAGGAGGATGGGGGAGGAAACTGATTAGAAAGGGACAGTTTGCACCCTAGCTGATTTGGCTCAGTGGATAGAGCGATGGTCTGTGGACTGAAGGGTCCCGGGTTCAATTCCAGTCAAGGGCACATGCCCAGGTTGTGGGCTTGATCCCCAATAGGGGGTGTGCAGGAGGCAGCCAATCAATGATTCTCTCATCATTGATGTTTCTATCTCTCTCTCCCTCTCTTTTCCTCTCTGAAATCAATAAACATATATTTAAAACAAACATCTTTATTAAAAAAAAAAAAAGAAAGAAAGGGAGGGAGGGAGGGAGGCAGGGAGGGTGGGTGTACGGTGAGGTGAAGGAAATATTAGGTGGTTTTGAGTCTCAGTTGGTTAATTACAAATGCCAAAACCTATCAAACTGTACATTTCATTATATGTAAATGGTACCTTAATTTATAAAACAGTGAGCTAATTTGAAAATATTTTCAAAAAAGTGCAGATGGCATCTGGATATGGCAGAAATCTTAATTGTGGTGTACAAATAACAAGTTCAAGAAATGATGCTAGCCCTAGCTGGTTTGGCTCAGTGGATAGAGTGTCGGCCTGCGGACTGAAAGGTCCCAGGTTCGATTCCAGTCAGGGGCATGTACCTTGGTTGCGGGCACATCCCCAGTGGGGAGTGTGCAGGAGGCAGCTGGTCGATGTTTCTCTCTTATCCAATGTTTCTAACTCTCTATCCCTCTCCCTTCCTCTCTGTAAAAAATCAATAAAATATATTTTAAAAAGAAAAAAGAAAAAAAAGAAATGATGCTAGACTAGCCCTGTCCAATAGAAATATGTGAACAACATATACAGTTTTAAATTTTCTAGTATCTACATTTAAAAAATAAAAGTTGGTGAAATTAACTGTACTATTTTTATTTAACCTAATGTAAAATAGTATTATTTAATATAATCAATATAAATATTATTGAGATTTTAAATAAAAAATTCATACTGCCCTAGTTGGTTTGGCTCAGTGGACAGAGCATCAGCCTGCAGACCAAATGGTCCTGGGTTCAATTTCAGTCAAGGGCACATACCTTAGTTGCAGGCTCCTCCTCGGCCCCCCTGGTCGGAGCATGTGCAGGAGGCAACAATCAACGTGTTTCTCTCACATCGATGTTACTCTGTCTTTCCCTTTCTCTTCCACTCTCTCTAAATCATCAAGGGAAAAATATCCTCAGCTGAGGATTAACAAAAAATAAGCAAACTAACAAAAATCTGTACTAAGTCTCAGTTCTGACTAGCCACATCAAGTGCTCAATAGCCACATGTGGTTGGTGGCTACTGTACTGAACAGTGCAGCTAAACACAATGAGGAAACATTCATGGTGTTTAAGGAGGGAGGGACTTTCATTCCAAGGCACAGGTTTGTAGTTAAAACACACACACACACACACAAAACCATACAACTATGGACTTCCTCTAATTTATTTGTTTCAACAATAAAGCCAAGAGTTTGCTTCATGAATATGACCTAAAAATGACTGTTTAGCAAACCATTCGTAATTACAATAGCCTAAAATTGCCCCCTCCCAACGCAATTCTCTGTGCAGTGTAATCAGTTACTGTCCTGGCAATCCCTGCGAGATTGGAGAGGCAGCAATGCTCTCCTGGGTTTCTGTTTGAGGCATGTCCAGAATCCTTTCCCCGACAGAAAGGAATGAGCAGACTTAGTCATCCAACCTTGCAGTCTCAAAATATAGACAGGAAAAGTTAAGGGTTTCTTGCCCCAGAAAAAAAAAAAGCTTCCCAGGAAAACAGAAAATAAGAAGTTTGGAAATTTGAAACCAAAATATTTCCCTGATTTCTATGAAAATGCAGAACCAAATGACACCTTGGTCAAATTCTCTTCACAACGAAGTCACTAAAACAGTGTCCTCTCAACTTGGCGAGCAGTCTCAGCCTGCCCCTGCAGCTGCACCATTTCATCTTCACGAGAGCAAGCAGGGTGCCAGCGGGCAGCTGCCTGATCTTCACAACCAACTTTTTCAGTATCAACATCTTTAGATTTTTAAAGTATTATCTACTGACAGGTGTTACACTACTATTTGCCTGCTATTTACTTTTAACTCACTTCACTGGAGAAGCAGGTGCTACCTTCACCTTACTAAAATGATTTTGTTGATTGTCAGTCTGATTCAAGTTTCAATAACTTCCGTGAATAAAAAGTCACCTGAAATTATAAATTTAGGTAATCAATCTGAAATAGAAATTTGAACAACCTGTTTAAAGTCTCGTAACTAATGCAGAATATGAAGTTCTCCAAGTTACAGATAAAATTGATCTAAGGAACACAGTCTTCAGATTGATAATATTAGAAATATTATTGAAGGGATGATCACATTTCCCTTTACTTCTCCAAATCACACCAATATTAAATTCATGGCCTTTGAATAATTTCAATTCCAAACTCTAAATAAATAATGTAAAATTACTTTAGCAGAGTGTTAAGTCACTTTTAATATACCTCATACCTCCGTTTCCTGCAATTCTCATTTTTCTTTAACATATGGAGGTCCCAATCAATTGGAAATAAACAAAGCTTTCAAGAAAATGTGAAAAGATTAATGTGGTTTAAAGGAGGGCTTGACATTACTGAAGCAATTCTCTAACGAAAGCCACCAGTCCTTCTCCCTCTACCTTCATTATTTGTAATGGATCTGTGGAGCCTAAGGAACCCCTCTCCTTTAGTTACAAGACCAGAAGACCTTGTTTTTTCTTTTTCCTTTTAGTGACCTAGTATATCTTCTTTTTTTCTCTGTACTTAAGAACCCCAAACAGAAAATAATGCTGATGTGGGAATAAATTTTCACATTGAGAAATGAGAACACAATCCTAATCTCATTTATAGTTGATACTCGGACCTGTTTACTACTCTTAATTGGAGCAAAATACTATTGTTCTTAGCCTAAAACACCTAGTTAAATCCTATCTTTAGTCAGGTGTTTTTATTCCTACAGATGTCCAAGAAAGGGAAGATCTAGCCATTAGCAACCAAGTCACTTATGTGTGTTATCTTCATGTACCCAAAGCGAAGTGGCTCTGGCAGGAGACGGCTGTGCTGGCTGAGGAGCATCCACAACTCTACGTTCTCTGGCTCTCACGGCACTTGGCCTAAACCTACAGAGCAGAGGGAGCTTCAGAGCTCCAATGACACTTGGTGCTCCAATGACAACAAATTGGTGGAAAAATAAAAAATGTTTTATCCTCATCTGAGGATATTTTTTCCACTGATTTTTAGAGAGAATGGAAGGTAGGGAGAGAAAAAAAAATTAACACGAGAGAGACACATCGTTTGGTTGCCTCCCACACGTGCCCTGACCGGATCTGGGGATCAAATCTGCAACCCAGGTACGTGCCCTTGACCAAGAATTGAACCCAAGACCCTTTAGTCCTCAGGCCGACGTTCTAACCACTGAGCAAATCGGCCAGTGCAAAAACAAATTTTTTTTTAAATGAGCAATCCTCTCCAAGGATGATTGGGCATAAAGCTTTGTCAAAAATTCCCAGAGACATCCTATTTATTAAAAATAGGGTAAACCACTCATAAACAACCTACTACTGTTGAAAACAAGTGAATACTCCCCATCAAAAATTAACATCTATCAAAAAACCAAGAGCACATGATGAATGCTGGCTTCAGGACTTGTGTGCCTACAGGCTGGGTTAGTGGCAAGGATAAAGCACAATGGGGAATAACATGGTGCCAGGAAGTATCCAAGCACATGAACACTCCTATGAAAGTGAGAACGCAAGACCTGGGGGCTTCTTCTTGGAGATTTGGGAGAGAGGGGGTTGCTTAATGGGGGTACATCTATCATTAAAGCAGACTTGGGTGGAATGTCATTCAGAAGATACCACCCTCCCCCACCACCAAAGAAAATATAATAAAAGAATGTCTTTATGAATGTATTTGAGACACTAGATCCATCACACTGACAACAGTCCACTACACTCAAGGTCTCATCCCCATCTTCTGCTGCCAGATGCAGAACAATCTAAGGGATTTTTAAAATTGCCCTCACTTTCAGACCAGGTCTGTGTGACACACAAAGACATTCACAGTTTCTCTATTCTTAATAAGAAAACAAAAAACCTGTCATTCTGAGATACCATGACACAGAAAGCTTAGTACATAAGAAAACATTCGACACTGCAGCAGCATTTACAGCCAAGAAGACTCCTAAACAGCCCAAAGCCAGAGCAAAAGCTGAACAATGCTGACCTCAAGCCCAAGAGGCACGCAGGGCCACTCCAAGTGAAGCTTTCCCTGAGCAACCGGTCTTCTCAGCAAACACAGTGTCTGTGCCAACGAGCATTCCAACTAACAACTGTGCTGTACAAGCTTTGGAGGAATCAGCAATTTGCAAATGTTCGACATACAACTGGAAAAATATCTGCAAGAATAAAACTGCAGGGACTTACATACCTCCATATCTGGCCTAAACTTAGCTTCAAACACAGCCATTGCTGCCAAGGAGCCAGAACCTGTAAGAAAAAGATGCATTTTTAGTGTATTTACCAACTCCCAGCTTCTCAAGTTACCTTGAGGCAGTAACAATGGCAAAACATGCCCAGTGTCACATTCAAGTACAGTGTAAATATTAATCCTATAGGAACACATAAACCAGGTAAATACTGCTCTTCAAAAGCCTAGAGTCACACTTACCACTATCTTGGGTAAACCTGCAACTGGCCCCACTTCTACTACTGATAGTAGTAATTGTAAATTATTTACAATAAAGTGCTGAAGCAGGAAAATGAGGTTATGGAGAATCTGTATTTTTTCGAAAAGTGAATGCCACATAATTTCATACACCCTATGCCGTGAGTCTTGTGCTCCACAACTGTGCCTTGGCAGGCTGCTGGGTACGGCGCTAAATACCAAGCCAGTTAGAAAGAATAGACTGTTTTAATGAGCTGGCCCTGGGAGAGTCACCTTGACATGCAGGGAGAAACTACAGCACCAGCAATGGTAACAGGACTGCGAGCCGCAGCCACCAGGATATTCCAGCTACAACTGTAAAACACTTTATTATGTGGCATTTATTTAGAGCTATTATTTTTAGTTTGTACTTTGAAGAGTAACAGCTGAGTAGACAAAATGACAGACAAAGAAACAAAAATTTATTATCACAATAGCAAATGGCTGAAAGGTTATGCTGCATAGATATTAACAGATGGCAAATTTCCCCCCACAAAAGTAGGATGTAAAGGCATTACAAATAAGTACAGGCTCCCTGAGAATGGATGTTAAAAGGCAGCGCAGTGCTATTTGAAATTTTAAATTAAACTTGCTTTGTTCAGAAACCAGAGAATCTTTAGAAAACCATCATCTTGTCTTTACAGTCCTGGCAATATCTCAGGATACTCTACCTTTAGAAAGAAGATAGAGTTGCCCACAATTTTTTACTCCAATTAGAAGATTTTTTTGGCATTTATTACTTTTTAACTTGTTTTGCATAACACTATCTATTTAGCTGGGTCACAGAGAAAACCATATTTTCTATTTAAAATGATTTGTGTACATCGCTTGACCACCTCAATGGTTTAGCAAAGGAAAAAGGCAGCGATTAAACAGTTTCAAATGAGGTGTCCTGCTGATTTTATCAAGTCTGCTGAATGTATAATGAAAAAGGAGAAGCTGACAGCAATGCTGCATTGAGAAAATACAGACTACCTTATCTGAACCATTTAAGGAGGTCCAATTATAGATCAAATTTAAAGGGTAGAAACAGCAGATTTACAGACACAAATCAATGAACATGGTAATCCCAATGAATATGACAGATACTCCTGTTACGGAATATTGCTGCGGTTGAGGATCATTACCTTCACAGCACCAGATACATCACATCCAAAGCAGTAGGAAGCGTCAAGTGGAGACCGGCATTACAAGCAATGACTATTCATTTAGGCTTTGGGAGCAAAAGGCAACCCCGTTTTCCCCTCTCAGAATTTTTTCTCTTTTTAAAAAAAGGGGGGGGGTGTTATTTAAAGGACTATTAAAAGCAATTCAGAAAGAGTAAAAATTAAAGATATATTAAGGTAATGCACCCAAATAATACTAGCAGATATGCCACAGCAAATTCATCAAAACCAAACCTCTTAATTTCATAGTAAATGTGTCCTTAAAAATCTGGAAATAGAGTAGTCTATTAATACTTTGTGAGTCACACGTTTACTCTGAGATTCAGGGATCAAGAGGAAAAGTAACCTACGTGTCTGTTTTAAGGCACAGGTTAAGAACCAATCTCAGACTGGGTAGTAAAAAGCAGGCTGGCCAAAACCGGTTTGGCTCAGTGGATGGAGCGTCGGCCTGCGGACTCAAAGGTCCCAGGTTCGATTCCGGTCAAGGGCATGTACCTGGGTTGCGGGCACATCCCCAGTGGGAGATGTGCAGGAGGCAGCTGATCGATGTTTCTCTCTCATCAATGTTTCTAACTCTCTATCTCTCTCCCTTCCTCTCTGTAAAAAATCAATAAAATATATTTAAAAAAAAAAAAAAAAGCAGGCTGGTTTTGTATGCAAATAAAGAAATCTCAGAAAAAATACTTTTAATTACAAAATGCTCCTACAGAGCGCACAACAGCATGTGACATGGTCCAAGAATATCTCTGTGAAGAGTCAGGGTAACCACACCAGAGGCTGAAATAAACATTAACAAAGGATAGGGGAGCCCTGACCGGTTTGGCTCAGTGGATAGAGCATTGGCCTGCGGACTAAAAGGCCCTAGGTTCAATTCCGGTCAAGGGCATGTACCTTGGTTGCGGGCACATCCCCAGTAGGAGGTGTGCAGGAGGCAGCTGATCAATGTTTCTCTCTCATTGATGTTTCTAACTCTCTATCCCTCTCCCTTCCTCTCTGTAAAAAAAATCAATAAAATATTTAAAAAAAAAAAAAGGATAGGGGAAAGTTAAGAGAACAACCAAAGGACTTGTATGCATGCATATAAGCATAACCAATGGACACAGACACTGGAGCGGTGGGAGCCTGCCCGGGGTGGGAATGGTTGGCGGGAGGGGGGAGTCAATTGGGGGGAAAGGAGACATATGTAAAACTTAAAATGAAAAAAATAAAATAAAAAGATATAAAATATTGTTTACAGAGGGATCTAGAAAACTCAAGTAATATATCTCAATTTTAAATAAAACATTTGGCCCTAACCAGTTTGGCTCAGTGGATAAAGCGTCGGCCTGCAGACTGAAAGGTCCCAGGTTCGATTCCGGTCAAGGGCATGTACCTTGGTTGTGGGCACATCCCCAGCAGGAGGTGTGCAAGAGGCAGCTGATTGATGTTTCTCTCTCATCGATGTTTCTAACTCCCTATCCCTCTCCCTTCCTCTCTGTAAAAAAATCAATAAAATATATTAAAAAAACAAAACAAAACATTTGATTAATGGATGTGGAAAAAAAAAGATAGGGGAAGGGTGGATATCTATCTAAGAGCTAACAACTTTGTGGAAAACTAGAATCATTTATTGTAAAAGGGTAAAAGGTAAAACCATGCTTATCTTAAAGGCATTCTTCCTTAAAATTTACTAACCCTGTTTTTTCTTCTTTGCCATCCTTTCTTTGGACTGTTTCACAGTAAATAAATTAGTTTTACTCTGATTTTTCCTGGGCACATCTATTTTCTTCTGCTTAGCTCCATCCACCATTTCAAGAAATGAAAAATATTTCCCTCCCAATATAATTCTTCATTTATCCAAAAATATTTTTTTCCTGCTTAGGACCAACACTGCAGACAAAATTTCTATAAGTGGAAATTACATACTAAATCTAAACTCTTGGAACAAAATGTATCTATCCAGTGTGGGGTTGCTTCACACTATCAGACACTGATTTTTAAGAGCTGGAAGGTGTAGGAAAAATAAACATAGAAAGGACACAGAGGTCCTTATTACATTGTATTTCTGCTTCCCCCTTTATAAGGCATGCCACCCTCAACACACACACACACACACACACACACACACACACACACACACACACACAGTGTTTTCTGGAAAGCGGGAGCTTGCTGAACTGCCTGATTGTTTCCCCTGAGATAAAAAAATAAGTGGACCACAAATAAACTTGAAAATAAAGGGAGATTCAATATTAAAAACAATTTCTAAGTCACTTGCAAATTAGCTCCTGCTCCCAGCTTTTTTAAAAAGGAGGACTTTGGCGCCCCCTTTTCAGAAATATACAGAAGTGTTGACTTTGTCAACAGGTTTCTAGGAAACTCTGAATGTGTGTCTGTTGTTTAGAAAACTGAAGTTAGAATTTCAAATAGGACTGCAATTGCCCAAAGTGGTCAGAGAACAAGATGCAAATTTTCACAACATTTCAAGGCAAGTAAACTTGGGGAAGGAAGAAGGAGTTGGCCATTAAGAAGAAAAAAGATGGCAAACTCAATGAGACCAGTACCCTTTAGTAATTTCATTCAAGTTCCTAGGTTTGTTTCAACATCTCTTAAAACTACATATGTATAATAAATCATCAGACAGATGCCAAACTAGTATAGCAGCCATGTGATCTACAAAATGTTTAAATATTTATATCCCATTTCCCCATGAACCATAACAATGCCCTAAGACATTCCATTATCTCAGCATCAACCTACCTAACCTGGCACTTTCATACCAAAACCAAGACAAAAATCCTTTGAAGGAACATTTACCTGATTTTCTATTCTAAAAACAATTAGGACTATATGCTTTCCCATTAAGGCAGGGGTCCTCAAACTTTTTAAACAGGGGGCCAGTTCACTGTCCCTCAGACCTTTGGAGGGCCGGACTATAGTTTAAAAAAAAACTATGAACAAATTCCTATGCACACTGCACATATCTTATTTTGAAGTAAAAAAACAAAACGGGAACAAATACAGTATTTGTATTTGCACATGGCCCGCGGGCCGTAGTTTGAGGACCCCTGCATTAAGGAATAAGTAAACAGAATAGCCAGGGGGCAGTGTACATGGTACAGGGGCCTCTGCTTTACATAAGAGGCATGTCAGGTGAAGGAAACTGATAGCGGAGGGAACAGTATGCTTCTCACCAGGGTAGGTGAGCTCTGGGAGCAATGGGTGTGGGGCCTGTCCTCAAAGAACTTACAATAAGGAGAAGGCAGCCAAGAGGGAAGAAACCAGAGCCTCCTGTTGAGCACCCACTGTGTGCTGCACATCATATGTTGTCATTTAGTCATCCGCACAGCAATCCACTGAAGTGAGAAAGCTTCTTATTTATTACAGAACTAATAAGCACAGGGGAGAATTCCTATCTCTGGTGTGACTCTATGTCACTCTCTCATACAAAAAATTCTATGTGCCACAATAGTTCAAAGCAGACACACGTGACTGACCGTCCATGATGAGGTCTCTGTCTCCCTCGGTCCCCTCCTCCTCTCCAATACATACACACTTGACACTCCAGCAGCA